CATGAGCAGATTGTCTGGGCATGACCTGCAATCCAATCCAGACCACTGAGCTGTGCGTGGTGTGACCTTTAAAAAGATCCCCTGTAATATTTTCCTCCTCGAGTGAGCTTCAAAAACAAGTGTTCTAAATTTTTGGGTTTCACCAATGCTTCTTGACCCATACAGCTTTTCTTTGCTAAGTTATCTGAAGGACTACTGCAAACAGTTGATGTAGATGTAGATTTACTGATTATACTCTTTCTATCTCGTCTCCTTACGACGGCGCGGAAGCTTTCCGTTCCTGGTTCAACGCCTTTAAGGAGATAAATTGAAGACTTTGTTTGTTTCATGTTATGGAACAGTTGTTTATTGCGATCACGATGTCCTCTGTCATTATTTGGTCGCTACGATGTTCTCATTGGTTCAAAGCTGAGCTGTCATCGAACTGTCATTTTAACTTGCATTAATAGTTTTGTGTCAGTGGTGCGTAGGGATGTTTAAGGCTTACGTTTTTTCTCTAAATATTAAATCTTTTGTAATACTGAAAAACGAAGTGTTCTGTGCCAAAGCTGTGGGCTAAAATACATTTTAAAATTTTATGTTATCGTCAGTAGTTAATGGCTAGCAAACTTGAAAATCTGTATTTTGTTATTAATAACTGTTTATTTCGTGTATTTACTTTCTGACATGCAACAGTTAAAATTGGCATTAAAATTGCTTAAGCGCTTCTTTTTGTTCAGTGCTTGTCCTGACACGTTAATTTGGAATGTTTCTGCAGTGCCTTTGCTCTACTGGTATCGTCGACTTCTTGGAGAAACCTTCGCCCGTGACAAACTTCAAGTTGATTATGGAAGTAAGTATGCCATAAAATGAAAAAATGGTTTGTTTATTTCTGGAAGTCTACTAAGTTGCACTCACAACTATTATCTACATGATAATCAGCATTGCTATCGCTAGCCACTTTCATTGGACTCAGAGTTGGTTTCTCCATCTTGGACAGCGGACAGTGACCAGAGTAAGAGATCTCAGTAATGATGAAGCACCTTAGGGGAATTTTCCGTAATAATGAACACCTTTCTTCATCCTTAAACGCTCCGCCAAAGAGCCTGTTGTTTTTTGTGTTGACAGACATTTTTTTGCCATTTGTTCGAAAGCTTTCTTGGAAAAGTACAAATTATTTCTAAAGGATCGTACACCGCTCATACCAATATCCAGTGAACGCGGAGTGAAGTCTTTTCACTATGTCTGCTGCTCTATAAAAAACCCTCAGCACCTAATGGGTAAGAAAAATAAAAAACTTAAAGTATGCTTGATAGATGATATGTGAAAACGGAAACAAAAGTCTCTTCAACTTCGTTTACGTGATGATGTAACCATTAAAATTATGTTTTCTATATTTGAACATTCGCTGAACTTATAAAAACTGGAAACGATATTTGTCGCAGTTATGTGCTCGTAAGTATTTTCCTTTGTCGAGGATCATTCCATTGACATATACTAAAAGTTGAAAGACACAAAAGGATCATAGCATGCCCCCTGTGCAATAGTGACACACCTAAATTCGTATGCATTCGATTTTCACCGGGGTTGCTCAGTTGGTAGAGCGCCATTCTCGAAGCCTAGAGGTCCTGGGTTCGAGTCACGATCTCGTCATTCGCCGTTTTTTCCTCCCAAAGTTGTTGAAGGAATGTCACGCTGTGGGAAGGAAATCGTAAACTATATATCATGTTTGCTTTCGATTCTGCAGTATAGTAGCAGTGGCATAAAAATTGAGATTCGATTTCCCGACTATTTACTTCATAAAAGAAAGCTGCTAGAAATGACTCAATCGCAATAGTGTACATCGGTCAGTCAATCCATCGGTTATTAACTTTCCTTTCTTCTCACAATTGTCTAATGCAACGATGAATTTGACGAGCACTGCAATATCGCGAGGAAGCAAATTAATTTTTATTACACAAATTAACATAATTTACTTCGGAAATTGGCACTCATCACTGTTGGTTTACGTCGATTCCACTCTGAACCCTTCCAGCTCACGGATCAAAGAATGTCAATTACAGGAGGAAACATTCGCCTCCAGTTCTCCGTCGATTGCCACTTATTTGCTACAGTCGTGGTAAATCGTCTTAGAACTTGCATGATATAAAATGTAGTGCCCTTGTTTGTGTACTGAAAAGTGTTAATGTTTCTGTTACTAATTGTACCGTGGCATCTAGCGTGAACGGTTATGTCGAAAGTATGTTATTATGTAATGTTTTTCCGAATTCACGTTTCGTGATGATGTCCCATCCTCTTAGTCTTAGGGGGTTTTCTTGAGTGTGTCATGATTCCATTCTTTTGCACTGTTGCGTCCATGAGTCGCAACCGCTGTATTAGTGTTAATCTGTCTAAAAGCAGGCATTGTGTGAGAAATCCAGTGGTCACTGGTTTTTCAGCTGGATACGGATTGCGAGGTAAAAAGTACGAGTCGAGGTGTCAAACTTTTTTATGAACAGTGATATGCAAGGAACTTCCAAAATCATCGATAGCTGCAGTTACTGACCTCATGATATTCCTTTTTTTCTTCTAAAAGATTCATTTATCGTTCGTCAGCGAGCCGTAAGGTTCGTCTGGTCGTAATTGCTGTTGATAAAGGCTTGTGGTGGTTCTCTACCGTTTCTACGGGCGGTACTTTCTATCGTCTTGGATTTAGTTTACTTATGTTGTACTTCGTTTTCAGTAGTTTACTGCTCTGAATGAGTAACGCGATACGCTTATTTCCCTGGCCATTGGTTTATGAATCACGTCTAAGCTGACCCACTTTTTACCTGAAACGTTGACTTGAATAATTGCTTCATATGGCACACTGTGTCAAAGATATTTTACTCTTCAGCCACCTTCGTATTACAGGCCACAGCCTCAGATCTTTTTCTGTTCAAGCAAGATTCACTCGCGTCCGATCATCTTAATTGAACGTTGAATAAATTCTTTGACTGAGACTTCGAGAAACCATGAATTTTTCTAGCACCTCCTCCTTCAATTTCGATTACAAATTAATTGTTTTCTGTTTGGTATTTGTTTCTTTTTGGCAGGTTTATGAGTGAAACCATTTTTAGCGAACGTGCCAGACGCATT